GAAAAAATATATTAATTTATCCCGTGTTGAAATTTTTCTCCGTTGCGTGTCGCTTCGCGTTGAATTTTCGTCGATGTTAAGCCTAACGAAGACTATTGTATCGTTAAAAATTATTTTTTTATTTTGTACAAACAAAATAAATATATTGAAAAATATAAAAACAATAAAAAATTATACTTCAGAAGTTAATTTAGTATCAAAAACATAAAATATTTGAGTAGCCGAAGACATAGCCAAAGATTGAAGTGCCACAGCACTGGCGAAAATTTAAATTTGTCGACTGGAATTCCTTCGGATAACCAACCTTCGGATAAACGACGCTCTACTGTACATCTAAAAATACTTCTAAAAGTATTATAAAACTTAACTTGAAGAAAGAAATACAAGAGTTTTCTTTCATTATTGACTAAGCTAATTGTTGTCAGTTTGTTTAATTTGTGCCTTAAAGTCATTACACTACATTAATTTGGTTGAATGTTAGAACATGTTTGAGCAGTATCAGTGAAAGAAGTTTGAGGCACAAAGTAAAGCTCAAAGCCTTTTTCTATGATGATGCTTATTTTTCCAATTTATTATCATAATGACTGCTTCCTCCAGAATTTCCTGTAGTTGTAGTCTGTGTAATGTGCACTTTATTTACATGTTGAGTCTTATTGTCAAATCTGCTTCCACTATTCTTATGCCACAACTTTCAAAAGTTTCCTTTATTTAGATGTTTCTGCTGAGCTATATTTTTTCAACCTGGTTTCAACAGTCTTTTTTTTTTTTTTTTTATGGGATTTAAAGTATTTTTCAGTCATCAATAATTTCATAAGCGAATAGTTTTCATGATAACTTGTGATATATTCATGTGACAGTCACGTAGTAGCTTGCAGATTTTTCTCAGTGTCCTAGAAAATAAATATGAAAAATCTGGTGCAGATTAAGCAAAGGGTTTAAAAGTTAATAAGGGGGGATTAAATCAGGGGTATGCAGGTTTTTGTAGTAGTCTATATTTTCCTCGGAGTCACAGAGAATAAGTATGAAAACTTTTGGTGCAGATCAGGCAAAGGGTTTAGGAGTTCATAAGAGAGGGTGAAATCAGGAGGAATGGGCATCCAGGTTGATGTAATAGTCATACTTTCCTTGGTGTCTCAGAGAATAAATAATACTTCTCCTTGGAATTTTTTAAATCTAAAATTTTTGGCTTTTTTTTCCAGTAACTTATCACACAAGGAACAGTTATTGGTACAGGTTTTATTAATGGAGGAAATGCATTTAGGATCTTAATGACTCCTCTTCAGTCCTTATTTTTTACAAAAGAAATAATAGATATAAATTACATCACACATAATAATACAGATATTTTATATTAATATTTTCCCTTATTATGTATAGGTACATAAGAACCACAAAAGTAAAATGAGACATTATTTTATATTATATTATATTTTTAATCATTAGGTTTGTATTAAATCATTAATAGATTAAAATATATTGCATATTATATAAATATATAAAATAATTGTAATAGATTAAAATATATTGCAAAATGCCATGTCACGTGGTAGACAATTGACCAATAAAGTGTTAATATTTTAAAAATGAGCTATAATTTTATAAATACTCAATATTTTTAAATTAAACCTTTAAAAGGACCACAAAAGATGTGGTCAGCTCTCAAAAGAGCTATTAAGTATATGCAGAATGCCATGTCACGTGGTAGACAATTGATCAATGAAATGTTAAAATTTAAAAAATGAGCTATAATTTTATAAATACTCAATATTTTTAAATAAAACATTTAAAAGGACCACAAAAGATGTGGTCAGCTCTCAAAAGAGCTATTAAGTATATGCAGACTTCTTGATTTTCCTGTAGCTTGGTGTCACGAAAATCTCTCTCATAGATCTAGTGGAAAAAATGCAGAATTTGAGATTGCGTAAGACCAGAACAATCCAACAAATTTATTCAAAATTTAAGTCTTCTGTACTAATCATCGCAGAGACTATATATATTAAATTTCATCCAAATTGGTCTGTTGGTCTTGGAGATATTAATGGTCAAATTTGGCACTTTAAACATTACATATGTGGATGAGCTCTACTACAGAGCGCAGTATTACTATATACACAACATAAATATAAATTTGAATATTTTTACTGTTTTTTGAAACCATCATCATACGAGTTTGCATTAAAAAGTTTTGATG